TTGTTGATTGTAAAGTTGGAAAGGAACTTGTCAGAGACAATACATCAAAATATTAAAATGAAACAAAGTTTTAAATGTTCAATTGATTTTAATATTATTAAAAATGAATAATACCATATTCATTCCTATGAGTTAATAATTACTAAGAGTGTTGTATTTGTTTATCAGTAGTGCTGTTATTAATTCATAATATCAGAAGTTGTCACATAAAGAAGTGAATAGTGAATAGTACTAATAAAATAATTATCAAATTCCTGTCAATTGTAAAGAAGATATGTTATGTTCTGAATGTCATAGATATATTCTTTTCATTTAAACATTATTATTTGTACATTAAAAGAATTATTATTTTTAAAAATAAGTCATAACATAAATAAAGAATATTTAATTCAAATCCACTTTAAATAGGTTCTTCAAATAAAATAAATTGAGTTGAAAAATTAAATTGAATAACTCTCAACACAATAAAATCTAAATACTAGTAAATTAATTTGATTTATTTGATATTTATTTAATCAAAACTTTTCAAAATTTTCTTTTGTTTAGATGACCAATTATTTAATTATCTAATTCTTGTCATCACTTCTTCTTAATTTCTTTCACTTTATTCAAAACATCTCCTTGGTATTTGTTTATTTTCTTTCAGTTTGTCATCACATAGATCGAAGCAGTGTTCTCCAAATGATGTAATTGTTGTTGGTAGATGAAGTGATATTAATGAGTAACAACGACTAAAACACCTATTTCCTAATTTACTAATGGACGTTGGAATAGTAATTGAAGTTACTGAACGACATCCTTCAAAACAGTTTTTACTTAATTCAGTAATGGATGATGGTATATTAATATTAATTGCTGATGAACAAGACTCGAAACAATCATTTCCTATTTTAATAACAGAACTTGGTATATCAATTGATGTTAATGATTCACATCCCCAAAAACAATGATCACCTAATTTACTAACAGTTGACGGAATGTCAATTGATGTCAATGATGAGCATTGATAAAAACAATAATCTCCTAACTCATTGACTGTTGATGGAATAATAAATTCATTGATATCTCTCTTTTCAATATTCTTTCCATTAATCCTCACTAAATTTTTTGGAATTTCTATACTAAGTAACACAGGTTCATTCATAAATATTCTTTCTTCACTTATAAATTTTAGATTTTCTGTTGTAATTGATGTTAATGATGAACATTCTGAAAACCAGCCTTCTCTAAATGCTGTAATTGTAGTTGGTATATTAATTTCTTTTAGTGATAAACATTTACAAAAACAATAATCTCCAAATTCGATAATTGTTGTTGGAATATCAATTGATGTCAATGATGTAGATCCAAAAAAACACCAACCACCTAATTTACTGATTGTAGTTGGTATATTAATTGATGTTAATGATGAACATCTACTAAAACAATAATCTCCAATTTCATTAATTGTTGTTGGGATAATAAATTCATTGATATCTCTCTTTTCAATATTCTTTCCATTAATTTGTTTTAGATTTTCTGGTGTTTCCATACTAAGTAACACAGGTTCATTAATAAATATTCTTTCTTCACTTATAAATTGGATGTTGTCAATAGTAATTGATGTTAGTGATGAACAATATCCAAAACAGCCAATTCCTAATTTTTTTAATGTCATGGGTAAATGAATTTTACTTAATGAAAGACACCACTCAAAACACTATCTCCTATTCGACAATTGTTGTTGGAATATCAATTGATGGTAATGATGAGCATCCATAAAAGCATTCATCTCCTAATGTACTAATTGATGTTGATACAGTGACTGCTGTTAATACCTCACATCCATTGAAACAGTCACATCCTAATTCGCTAATTGTTGTTGGTATATTAATTGATGTTAATTCCTCACAACCACCAAAACATCCAATTCTAAGGGATTTAACTTCTGGTGGTATTGTAGTTCCATATTTTTCTCTATCTTTATCAGCATACACAATATCTTTACAGATATTTCCTGTTTCTTTCTCTTTTAAATATGTTGAATAATCGACTTTATACCATATTACTTCTTTAAATATTTTTCCATCATTAAACACATCATCATTTTCTTCATAAATATGAAGTGTTTCAATATTAGGAAAGAATTTTCTTGAATATTCATTTAAAGGAATTGGATTAAAATGAAATCGTTCCATATTTCCTTGAAATCTTTTAATTCCAATTTCCAAATTAATAAAATCTTTAATGTCATTAAAATACTTTGATGTTATCATTATTTCATTGTATCCTAACGTGACCTTTTCTTTATTGTTTATTGTTGTATTTCTTTCCATTCTTATTTTTATTTTAATTGAAGTTATTCTAATCTATAAATTTAAAAAAACCTTAAAATTGATTTGATTGGTCAATGTTTGCCACGTTGTTTTTATTTATAGAAATTGATGGTTTCTATTTTTAATAAGTTTTTATTAGATGTTATTTGATTCCTTATATGTAATTATTTCAAGGTTTAGAATAAGTTAATGATGATAGTGTTTATGATTTTGTCTATTAAATGGTGATTCTAATAAATAGTATAATTCATCAACAATAAAATATCAAAGAATGTTATTACAACTTTATCTAAAGTATAATACTCCATTTCAAATAATTAGTATTAAAAAGCAAAAGTACTATTGCAACTAGTTCAGTAAATTAAATTTGTTTAATTATGTATAGAATTTAATATGAATTCAAATATAATTAAATTGTATTTCAATAATTACGTCCAATCATCATATTGAATTAATTCAATCATTTAATAAAAAAAATGAAGTGAGTCAAAGTATTAATTAAAATGATTTATATTAAAATGATATGTCACATTTAATAATCAGTAAATAATTAATAGTATTATTGGATAGAGTATTACACATTACGTAATTAATAAGTATAGTGAAACGATATGTAGATAAAATGTATTTGTTTCTATCTCATTATTGCGAATAGATTTAAAATTATGATATAAAATAGAAAACATATGAAACTAGATGAACTAACTGATTAGTTTAATAATTCTTCAAAGAATATTTTTTTTTGATTCGTTTTATCATATTGAGAACGATTAAAAGCAATTAATTAAGTACCAATAGAATTATCTATTATTCGTGCATCAGGGTATACTAATCCTGTCATTGGTGTGTTCTCTGCCAGCTCTACAGAATATGTTCTATTATAATAGAAGCAAGTTCCATGATATCCATCATGTTTCTAACTACAAGGTTTTGACTTATTTTATAATGTTTATTTCAATTGTTAATTCTTCTATTAATCTAATACTCTCTGCAATTACTCGACCATTTATTGAAATTACTACTCGAATTATTTTTATATCTCTTAATTTCTCTATTTCATTATCCTATTTTTTTTTAACTCTTTGTACCTATTTCTTTTCTTCAAATATCATCCATTAATATTGTGAGTGCAACGATTGTAATATCAATTAATAGCCCAGTTTTATTCTTCTTATTTGATATATATAATCATTGATGATGACATTCTCTTCCAATAATACAAATATATAGTGTCAATGCCTGGTGATTTCCAATTACTTATTTTCATCATAATTAAATTTAAATCATCCATTGTGATGATGACACTATCATAATTTCTGTATCTTTCATTCCACGAGGTGATTTGTTTTATTTTCAAATGTTCTTTATTTAATATCACCTGTGTTTCATATAACGATTTCAAATATTCTAAAGTAATATCGTTATTTGGGTATATTTCATTTTGTGTTTCTTCTTTATTTTAATTTTGTTATTAGAATCAAACATGATTTTATTTGTATTGATTCTGATAATTTCATTTTTATTAAATTTAATTCTTTCTTTAATCATTGTCATCATATATTTTAGGTACTTTATTCTTTCTTGTGATTTAATTTTAATTTCATCTACATCTTGTTCATTTAATCTCATGATGCATTTTATTCTGTACCATTCCATTGATTAGATCTTCTAGTCTATTTATTTTCTTTATGATTTCTTTTATTTCATCAAATTTATCTCATTTAAATTTATTTTTGGAGATAATAATACATACACATTGAAATCATTTTCATATCTTCTTGCAGATTTTCTATTCTCCTGACCATACCCATTTATTATTAATTTCTCTTATTAATTTATCTGATTCTTTCCTTTTCCAGTAATAATTAATATTTACACATTTATCTATCTTCATTTCTTTAAGTTGATTGATGATAGAGTTAAGATATTCATCATCAATATCAGTAGAGTTATTTTTTATGATAATGTTTTTTATTATTGGGTTACACTCTACTTTCCCTTCTATGAATGAGTTCACTTTCATTTTAATATATCTTTTAGTTGTTTATTTTATTCTATGTGACTTTTTAATATTATTAATGTATTCTTTCTCATTATTTACATTATTATTTATTACTTTTATTATGTTTTCTATTTATTCATTTCTTAATTTCTTATTTAATTTCTTGTTTAACAAATTAATTGCAAAACAATACAACACATCAATTAAAATTCTATTTCTTTCTTTTCTTCTTGACTGATTATTGTTTATTTATTTTCATTTCTTTTTATTCTTTATTTTTGTATTTTCATTGTTGTAGTTTCTTTCATTTTAATATTATCCGTTATGTGCTTATTATCAGTATATCTTTTTCCTGTATCTTTTTTATTAAATTTTTATCATACTGATGTATTATTATTATTTGTTATGTTATTCTTATCATGTATTATTTATCTTTATCTTATTTTTATTTCATCTTATTATTAACGTTTATTTTGATAATCTTTTCTTTTTCTTTATCTTATTAAAATTATCTCTTTGATTTTAAATGACTTATCATTATCTTGTATTTCTCTATCATTTCTACTCTCTTTTTCTTTTATTTTACTTTGATTATTATTTATTATTATTTATTTATCATTTTGATTATGTGATTGGATGCTGATCATGTTTTTTATTTGTGCTTTCATCAACACTTCTTTCTTACTTTCTCTTGTATCTGTACTTTGTAATTTTATCATTATTTTTGATGGGATGTTTTATTCTTTCTTATTTTTTTTATTACTAATTATTTATTTTATATAATGTTATTTAAAATAATAAAAAGAAATAATATTTTATTTAATGAATAAAATAAAGAATGATAAAATAATAATTAAATAATATGTTATAATTGTGTATTTATTTATGATTTGTTTTTGTTATTATATTCTTTGTTTCAAATTCTTTGAGTTATTATTTAAGATTATTATATTGGTTTGAAGAAGTAGAATTATTTCTAATTAATCAAAATTTATTTGTTGATATTATTTATTATTATTATTATTATTATTATTATTATTATTATTATTATTATTATTATTATTTATGATGTATTAAAATTGAGTTATTTGATATAAAAGATAATGAAATATTTGATTAATAAATTAAAAGAGGAGAATGAATATTTGATAGGATTGATGAAATAGAAAGAAGAAGAAAATTAGTATAAAAATTCAAAAAAAATTAAATGAATAGAAACAATTAAAAATAAAATGAATAAAATAATAGAAGAATGTAATGATGATTCAGAAACAATTAATAAAACAAAGGATGAACTAATAGATAAAATCATTCATATTGATTAAATGTTATGTTTGTTAAAATTAAAGTATTAGATGATAAAATAAAATATATAAATATATAAATAAATGAATTGAATATAAATTAATAAGAATAAAGATGAAATATTCATATTTTATTGATTATTTAAATATGGAGAATAGAAAAGAAAAAAAAAAAAAAAGGAAATTATAAATATGAAATGAATAAATATAATTGAATAAATCAAACAAATAAAAGAATAGATAAATAGAAATGAATAATTATTTATTTATTTCAAATATGAATAATTTGAATTATCATACATAACTATTTAATCAATGAATATTAAATATTAAATATTATTGAAAATTCAATTTAAAATAAATTTTAATGAATGTTAATGTGAAAATTGATAAATTTGATCATTATATAAATAATCTAAATTCATTTTTATTTTTCATTTAAATTAAAAAGAAGAATAAAAAGAATGATAAAATTTAATATTATTAAACTAGAAATGTATTTTATTTATTCAATTAATTCAATTGTTATTTGTTTTCATTTTAATATTATGATTATTGTTATTATTATTTATAAAGAAAATATTAAAACAATATCATTATTATCAATTATCCTTTGAATATAAAAGAATATCAATTTCACTTTATTGAAAACAACATCCAATAATTTCACACAACAACGAATTATTGTAATTGAAATGAAATGATTTTTATTCATCATTATTTATTTGAAATATAAAAAATAAAAAAGAATATAAAATAAAATCAATAAATGAATATGAACATTTCATTTATCAATTAATGAAATGATGAATATAAAAATGTTCATATTTCATTCTTGTTTTATTTTGTTTCAAATAAGTACAATGAAAAACAACAGAGTGACAATAAAATAACAAACAAAATATTTATACAATATATTGAACATAATATATAATGAATATAATGAAATTAATATTAAAGTAAATTTTAATAAAAATGTATTTTTAATATCTATTCATTAATTCTATGCTTATTTATATGGTATTTTATATTTATTTTATTGTGCTTTATTTCGGTACTTTTATTATTCAAGTTATATTTGTTATTACTTATTTTGTTTCTTCTAATTTGTTTTATCACTAATATTTATTACACTTTTTTTTTGTTAAAATTCAAAGAATTATAATATATTTTGATTATTTCAATATCATTATTTCTTTCTTCTTTTTTAAACCTTTTAAACATTTTTAATATTGCTATAGTATATAGCTTATTTATTGTTCTCTTGTTATAACGTTTTTTTAATAAACATTTTACTATTTCTTATTTTTTATTTTAACAAAACATTAACCTTCCTTAAATCAGTGTTTTGGTTACATTAACCATATAATTTTATAAGTTGTGATACTTGTTTGAAAAGGCTGTAATACGTTAGTGTATCTCATTTGTATTAGTGGGTGATTATACCTATACTAACTACCTTCTATTTAACTACCTCTTTTTGGTTTGTAAAAACGTGCTAGTCTCTATGTTGCCAAAACGATTCCTGTGAATCAAAAAGTAATAAACAACTAAAAGAATTAGCACTTTGTACAGAGAGTTCTGAGCCCAAGAATTATCATATAAATTAAATGAAATTAACTTTTTAAGATAAACTAAAAAATGGTGTAAATAAGATAGTCTTTTTTACTGTGGAACTTCTTATCAATGTTTATGATTAATATTATTTTATTTGAACAAAATTTAATATGATTAAATCTCATTTTATTTTCTTTTTTAATTTTTTTTTATTTTTCTTTTTTTGTGGAATTTTTGTTCTTCTCAATTGGAATTGAAGTGATGAACAAACAACAACAACTTCAAATGAAAATTAAACAAGCATTTTCAACTGCACTCGGACCAGTTACTTCAAATATTCCAATGTTATTAATGGCATGGTTAACAGGTTCTTCAGTAAGTTATATTAACCTTATGTTTACTGCTACTTTAATAAGTAATTTTGTTAATTCGGTTTCAAACGTAAATGAAGTCTTTAAAAAATATACGACCATTGACAAAAATACGATCTTAATTCTTAAAGTAGTTTATTTGATTGCTTGTTGTGGTATACTTGGGATTGCAGTCTATAAATTTAGTAAAATGGGAATTTTACCAAACCGAGATTCGGATTTTCTCCCATCATTATCACAACGAATGGTTTGTTTCTTTCTTTTCATTTTATCTTGTTATTTATTCAGTTACAAATAAAATTACAATATCTTTTTAACTATATTAGATTGTTCAAGAAATAATAATTTAATTAAACACATTGTTTGTGATTTATTTTAAAAAGAAAAGATACTAATTTTTATATGAGATTGGTG